TACAAACGGGTCATGAGGGCTTAGGCTTCTCAAACTCTACATCTCAGAGCCCGGGGCCAACATGAACACCACGACCGGGAGCACCCAACAAGCACCGAAACATGAACTCTCGAGGGAAATCCATTATCCCTACAAAGGAAGTAATAATATCTTATAACATGGGATTAGTGCTGGTTGGTACCTAAACTGCCCTAAACCCTGAACCCTAAGCCACTTGTCGGGTGGATTTTTTGTCTTGAAGTGACAAGAAAATGCCTCCCAGTGCGGTCCCGGTCACAAGCCCGGAATCCTCACGCTGCTGTACACCTAAGGTTAGCCATAGGCCCCATAGTAGTTCCTTTTTAGGGCTCATATGTAGAATCCTATAAGGTAATCCCAAAAAGGAACTACCATGGGGCCTACGGGTAAAGTAGAGGTCAGAAAGTTGGAACATCATAATCCTCATGCCCTTACGGCAAAACAGAGGACGTCTTAGCACTAGTCATCCTCAACCCATGTTCCAACTTGCTGGGTTCACTATGGGTTGTTTTCGGGTACAGCTCTTAGGGCTGAGGATTCTAATGCTTAGGGCAGGGTTTGAGAGGTTGCGAAGGGCTCTTTCAGTGTGGTTCTATGTGCGATCTGTCAGGGCTCCATAAGTCGGAATCGGCTTGGGGTTTGGGGAATGTATATCATCCACTAGCACTGGTGCTGTAAGCCTTTAGGACTTCAGGATTTTGCAGTGCATGAGGCTTATGAGGGTGCGAACTGTCCGAAATTATGCTCGACATGAGAATCTGACTGACAAACTCTAGAGCAAAAGCTAATCTATTCGAAAGAAACAGCATGCTATCCCAAATAAACCCCAAAGCCCGCAACCCTTAAGCACGAAAACCGCAAAGCCATACTGAAAAGCCTGAATACTTTGTTTACGGCCAGAGTATATACTTTATGGATACATGGACCGTTAGGGAAATCCAAACATGGTTACAGGTTGGACACCCAGCTACACCCACATAGTGCGCCACATCAGGGTGTTGGCCTGCTGCGACCAGCACCCTCCTGGAGTTCAGCCAAATAATCAACCTGAATGCAATGTTAGGTCTCGGCTTAGGCTTCGGGGTCTAAGGTTTAGGGTTTCGGGTTTAAGGTTTAACGTTCAGGGTCTAAAGCTTAAGGCCTGGTGTTTAGGGTTGGGGCCTGTAAGGCTTAGGGTGCAAACACGCCTTGGGTTTAGGACTTCGGCCTTTTCCGGGTCGAACGTTAGGTAAAACTAAGACCCTTTCCACGCATTTTTGGGGTTGAAAAACTCTAAGCCCTCACCTATGCAATTGGCGGGCTACAGAGTTTCGGGTTTAGGGTTTCGAGTTGTTGGCGATCGCACTGAGTTCATGGAACTTGGTGGATAATTTCTCATGAAAACACAAGACGGCTCATACGTGTGCAGACCTTGTGCTAAGCTATGCTTCACCAGTGCGCGCCCAGAAACACCAGCCTCTGTTACTGGTGGCGCTTTCCTCTGAAAATGTATGTTGCTTCCCTCTGGTGATGATCTGTTTCGGATGCTGGAGATTGTGTTGATTCAGCCAGGAGCACAAGCACAGCCAAAACCAGACACAGCAGTGCACCGGAGCATCAACCGAGACCACAGGAACGAAAGAAGGCTCGAAGGGCCCACACTTATGTTAAGTCAATTTCCTGAACTCAAGATCCATACTACACAAACGCGTTTGGGCTCTGCTCGGCCTCACGAAACGACAGCGATACTTCGATCTTGCGTGCTGGGATATATGGCAGCTGTGAACGTGCATGATGAGCATCCTAACCATCTTGTGGCTGCAAGCTAGTTAGCAAGTCAAGACTGTATAATTTTCTTGTAACACCCCGCACCCCTAAACCCTAAACCTAAATCCGAAACCCGCAAGACTAGCAGCAGAGGGAGGTCGACAATGCACAGCAGGATGAGGAACGCTCGCTGCAGCGTGATGCCAACGGCCTGCCGATCTGTGGGCTTGAGGGTTTAGGGTGTATCCAGATCTGGTTTCAGCGGACGCCCTGAATTTCACAACAACCGATACGAAGAATCAACACTAAACAACCTATAGAACAAAAACCCAGTACTCAAGGCATGTAGCTCCTAAGCCCAACCAAATCATAACGTTCCTAAGGCCTACACTAATTATGCCAAAAACAACCCGGAAAATTCGATCAAACTCTACAGCCTAAACCTAAACCCAACCCCAAACCTCACCCCAAACCCTGACCTTTCAACCCTAAACCCTGAGCCAAAAGCAAAACCGAAAAGCTCCCCGCTGTCTCCCCCAGCCCAAAGGGTCCAATGTACCTATATCGTAGAATGTCTAGGATGTCTCTGTGACGATGTACTATTCTGAGTTGGGGAAGTATCCCCATAACACTACCCTAAGCCCTAAACCCTAAACCACTAAACCCTTAACTCTTAAGCCATAAACCCTAAACCCCTAAACCCTAAACCCCTAACCCCGATACCCTAATCCCCTAAACCCCTAAACCCTACACCCCTAAACCCCGAAACCCTAAACCTTACCTAGCAATACTACTACTACTACTACTACTACTACTACTACTACCCGAAACCCGAAACCCGAAACCCGAAACCCGAAACCCTAAACCCTAAACCCTAAACCCGAAACCCTAAACCCGAAACCCTAAACCGCTACTGCCAAGCAGCCAGGGCCTTGAAGTTGCCGGCCCCCCAGTCCTGGGAGCTCAGTGTGGAGATGCCCGCCGACAAGCCCCAGAGAGCGGAGAAACCTTGGGTTTAGGGTTTAGGGTTTAGGGTTCAGGGTTTAGGGTTTAGGGTTAAGGTTTAGGGTTCAGGGTTTAGGGTTTACAAGCCAAAGATAGGAATTGAGGCTCAAGGTTTGGGGCTTAGGGGTCTTTGGGGTTTAAGATGGGCGTCAGGGTCCCTGGTTCTGAAATGAGGGGCGTAACCCTGTTTCGGGTGTAAGGTTCAGGGTGTAAGGTTTCGGGCTAAGCTTAAGGGCCACTTAAGGGTTTAGGGTTTAGCTATTTGGGGTTAAGGGTTTAGGAGAAACCTTGCATCTTTTGGATTAGCCTGCTTTAGCCGTCCAGAGTGTTGAGTCTTTGAATGTAAGGTGTCGAGTTTCGGGCTTCATGGGCTTACGGCTCGTGGTGTCATGCGGCGCATTTTCGGTATGTTGATGCTTGCTAACTAGAAGCGTGTCTGGCCACGAGCCTGAAGTCCGTGAGACCTGAACCCTCAAACCCCACAAACCCCTAACTTCAACAATCGGAACAACATGAGCCCGTTGGGAGCCGGTTCTCCGACCGTGGGTCACCGAATAAATATACTGCCATGCTACACACTCTGTAGGGATTACAAGCCCAAGATATCGGAATTGAGGCCCCGGTTTAGAGGCTTGGGGCCTCGGGGTTTCTGTTCGTTCAGTCAGCCCAGTCTTTAAAAACATAACACCTTAAACCCTAAACCCTAAACCACTAAACCCTAAACCCTAAACCCCTAAACCCTAAACCCTATAGTCTCACTTGCAGTCTTTAACCCAGGAGCCGGTAATGTTGGTGATGACGTTACCCAGGCCGATTGCTGCCAGGGCCGCTTCGTCCAGGTGTTGCCCAATCACCGCCGCCGAGACCAAACCAACTAACCTGGCGGCTTTAGCGCTCTGGGGCTTAGGATTTACGGGTTTAGAGGTTTAGGGTTTAGGGGCTTTGTTTTTAGGGTTTGTAGTTGCAAGACCCCGTAGACAACTTAAGACCGACTACCCACACACACACAAGCAGGGATCCCAGTAGTTGACATCATCCTAGCCTGCCCCGAGGCTGAGGCGACTTAGCAAGTAGAATTCTCTTACCTGCACGAAAACCCCAAAAGAACCTTGAACCTACTGGCCCTGATCTTCTAAGCTTATCCGGCCAGCCTGCTGACAGCTGCAATGGGCCAAGTTGGCCCGGCCACCACCACCAAGCAACGCAGCAAGTCACGATCGCTGTGTCCAGGGTCGACAGCTGCATCACGCGCAGATGCTGCAGCCACCATGCTTGCCACCCACCAGAAACATCGGCGTCGTTATCACGCCACTAACAACACTAACGATCATGACAAAGTACTACTACTAATAATTACTAATTCTACTACTAGTACGACTAGTATTACTACCACTACTACTAACTACTAATATTACTACTAGTACGACTAGTACTACTACCACTACTACTACTACTACTACTACTCCTCCTCTTCCTGCTCTGCTGCTGCTGCTGCTGATACGACTAGTACAACTAGTACGACTAAGGTGGACCACAGTCACAATCCCAAAACCTTGAAAACACTAAATCCTAGACCCTAAATCCCCAAACCCTAAACCCCTAAACCCCTCAACCCTGAACCCCTAGACCCCTAAACCCTAAACCCCGAATCCCCTAAACAAACCCTAACTCCTGTAAGCCAGAGGCTACGGGCCACCGGTTGAAACGCATCCTGACTTTCCGTAAACTCTACCCATATAGGGTCATATTCTGCGCTGCCTCTTCTCTACTTTCACCTTTGCAAGGTACCAACTGGGAAGTTGGCAGTTCAATACCGGGAAGGCTGATCTGTTCCTCCTTGCGAACAATGTACGGGAGACTCCAAACGAAAGACACCCAAGGTAATAGGATGCGTTAAGGAAAGCAACTGAAGGCTCTTCGCGTAAGGATCCGAGCATTCGAGAGCGGTTCCGGGTTCACTGGAATTGAATACTCAGGTTCTAGATCGGAATAGGAACCGACCTTATCGGCAACTCATTCATACAACTTGCCAAGCCCCGACCCCGAACACTTTAATCTCAAACTACCAGCCCTGAACTCCATCGGAAGCCCCATTCCTGAAACTCTCAACCCCCAAATTCTTCATCCCCTCAATCCCGACTCCTCAAGCTCGAAGCCTAACCTCCCTACAAATCCCCCCGACCGACTTCCTAAACCCGAAATCAACCCATGCCCGAACTTCAGGACCCGACGAGGCCCCCCAGCGCGGCGGCTGCAAGACCAAGGAGGCCGCAGCCTCTCTTGAATTGCTTTTAGTGATAATGCAGGAACCTGATTCAGAAACCCTGGGTCTTTATTAGGGTTCGTAATATGAATCCTAATATATTGGGGTTGTAGGGACAGGGTTTCTTAATCAGGTTCCTACATTAACCTTGTTCTGGTTGTTGCAGTCAGTGCTACTGCTATTGTTCTTATTGTTGCTCATTACTACGGTGCTAACTTTTTGATGCAGGATTTAGGATTCCTTTCTGTTTGCCTCTGCTTCCGATTTAGGCCTTCAAGGGTACTTAGGGGCCATACCCGAAGGGTCCTTCAGGATTAGGGGCTATACCCTAAGAGTCCTTCAAGGTTACTTAGGGGCCATACCCGGCAGAGTTCATATACCCAAATAATAGTCTCTACTATGGCCCCAAAGTACCTAGATGGGGACTACGTCCAAGACTCAGTGCTTATGCAAACCGGCCTTTCGACTCAGAACCAAGACCCCCAGAGTCTGTTTGGGTTATTGTCGTGGGTTTAGTGTTAAAGTGGGCGAAGTCGAAAACTTGTTTGTCTCCCTTTGTCTCAATGCCGT